AGTGGAAACCTTATGAAGAGCAGTGAAACACTGTCTGATATATTACTGGAAAACTTTATAAATAGCCCTGAAACATTGTGCGATGTAGTGCCAGAAGATGAGCCCCTCAGGTTGGAAGCCACTCAAAATGTGACTGGGGAAGAGCTGACTTCTCGGAGTAGAGATGGCCTTAATGATACGCATGGAATAAAGCTTTCTGGCCCTTCAGTGGCATGAATCAAAATGAGTAGAAACAGCTGCAAACATCCATTAATAATCAGAACATGGGATGTATGAAGTATGAATCTAGGAGAACTGGAAGTTGTCAAAACGTAATGGAACGCATAAAGATTGATATGCTATGCATTAGTGAGCTGAAATGCACTGGTTTTGGCCATTTTGAATCAGACAACCATATGATCTACTATGCCGGGAATGACAAATTGAAGAGGAATGGTATGGCATTCATTGTCATAAAGATTCAAGATCTGTCCTGCATAAAATGTTGTCAGTGATAGGATAATATCCATCTGCCTACAGGGAAGACCAGTTAATACTACTATTATTCAAATCTATGCACCAACCACAAAAGCCAAAGGTGAGGAAATTGAAGATTTCTACCAACTTCTGCAGTCTGAAATTGACCAGCCATTCGATCAAGATGTGTTGATTACCACTGGTGACTGGAATGCAAAAGTTGGAAACAAAGAAGAGTCACTGGTAGTTGGAAAATATGGCCTTGGTGATAGAAATAATGCTGGGGATCGCATGATAGAATTTTGTAAGACCAACGACTTATTCATTGCAAATACCTTTTTTCAACAACATAAGCAAGAGCTATACACGTGGACTTCACCAGATGGAATACACAGGAATTAGATTGACTACATCTGTGGCAAGAAGCGATGGAAAAGCTCAATATCTTCAGCCGAAACAAGGCCAGGAGCTCATATGCAAGTTCAAGTTGAAGTTAAAGACAATTAAAACAAGTCCACAAGAGCCAAAATATGACCTTGATAATATCCCTCCTGAATTTAGAGCCCATGTAAAGAATAGATTTGATGCATGGAACACCAGTGACCGAAAACCAGAGGAATTGTGGGATGACATCAAGAGCATCATCCATGAAGAAAGCAAGAGGTCATTAAAAAGACAAGAAAGGAAGAAAAGACCAAAATGAATGTCAAAAGAGACTCTGAAACTTTTCCTTGAATGGAGAGATGCTAAAGCAAATGGAAGAAATGACAAGATAAAAGAACTGAACAAAAGATTTCAAAGAGCAGCTTGAGCAGACAAAGCCAATTACTACAATGAAATGTGCAAAGAACTGGAGTTAGAAAACGAAAAGAGAAGAGCATGTTCAGCATTTCTCAAGCTCTGAAGAAAGAATTGAATAAAAAATTTAAGCCTCGAGTTGCAATATTGAAAGATTCTATGGGTAAAATATTGACTGATGCAGGAAACATCAAAAGAAGATGGAAGGAATGCACAGAGTCACTGTACCAAAAAGAACGATGTTCATCCATTTCAGGAGGTGACATATGATCAAGAACCAATGGTAGTGAAGACAGAAGTCAAGCCTGCATTTAAAGAATGGGAGAAGAACAAGGCTCCAGGAATTGACAGAATACCCATTGAGATATTTCAACAAATGGATGCCATGCTGGAGGCACTCATGTGGCTATGCCAAGAGATTTGGAAGACAGCTACCTGGCCAACTCACTGGAAAAGATCCAGTACCCATTCCAAAGAAAGGTGATCTCACAGAATGTGAAAATTATCAAACAACATCATTAATATCACATACAAGTAAAATCTTACTTAAGATAATTCAAAAATAGTTGCAGCAGTATATTGACAGAGAACTTCCAGAAATGCAAGCTGGATTCAGAAGAGGATATGGAACGAGGGATATCATTGATGTCAGATGGATCTTAGCTGAAAGCAAAGAATGCCAGAAAGATGTTTACTTATGTTTTATTGACTATGCAAAAGCATTCAATTGTGTGGATCGTAACAAATTATGGATAACATTGAGAAGAATGGGAATTCCAGAACACTTGATCGTACTCATGAGGAACCTGTACATAGATCAGAAAGCTGTCATTCAAACAGAACAAGGGAATACTGCATGGTATAAAATAAGGAATGGAGTGCATCAGGGTTGTATCCTTTCACCATACATATTCAATTTGTATGCTGAGAAATAATCCAAGAAGCTGGACTATATGAAGAAGAATGTGGCATCAGGATTGGAGGAAGACTCAATAACAACCTGAGATGCACAGATGACACAACGTTGCTTGCTGAAAGTGAGGATCCAGGCCTGGTGAGCGGCTTTTGTAAAGACTACAGCCAACCTCGCTCCAGAGCCTGTGGCCTCTCTCCAAATGAATACAAAGAAAATGCCTGAACAAAAAGATGCGTGTAAAAGGACAGGCAAAATGCATGACCAGCAAATTGAAGCCCATCCAATCAGAACATAGATAATAAAAATTTAAACATCATTTGGGTGATTTTAGGACCAATCAGCAGAATGAAGATCATGCAAGTGTCCTGCACACACAGTGTCTCTTCCCACCTTTGGCCAGGCTGTCTCCTCCACCCAGAATGCCCTTCTTCCTGCTTCTCTCTGACCATGCCTATTTACCCTTCAGGATTTTTCTCAGGGTTTACCTCTTCCAGGAAGTCTTCCCTGATCTTCACAGGCTGGAGGATTTTGGCTGGCTTTGCCTTGAGTGTTTTTCTGTCAAATTAATTGCCACTCACGTGTTTGGAGTGTGAGGTTGCAGAGACTTGGAACCCGGGGCAGGGATTTGCTAAGATACATGAGCTCAAGTGAGTACATTGGCCTCCCTGAGTCTCAGTTTGCTCACCTGTAACATGAAGATGATGATGTGTTAGACTGGGTTCTCTAGAGAAACAAAACCAGTAAAGCTTATATATATAAAGAGAAATTTATCTTAGGAAAATGGCTCACACACTTATGGAAGCTGGAAAGTCCAAAGTTCTTGGATCAAACGTCAAGCTGGAGGCTTTTCCCAACTCTCGCAGCTGCAGGGGCTGACAAGCTCAAGGTTGACAGGCAGTACACTGGCTGTTGACTTCAACAAATGATGAATCCAAGACCTCCAGGCCAAATGGTGGATTGTTCACTCACAGACAGTTGTAGACAGCACAACAGAATCCCGATCCACAGAAGAGTCTCTCTTTTCCCAGGATGTCCACAGATATACTGGAAGCAGGCCACACCCCTAGGGAAACTCCCTTTCAAAGGATTGGCTGCTCAAAACATATTCATCTGATCCCATCATGGGAATAACCACATCACAACTGCTTAAACCACACAGAATTGTGGTCCAGCCAAGTTGACACACAGCTCCAACTATCACAGATGACGACAGTGTTCTTACTCTGAGTGACTGCTGTGCCCCAGGCAATCCACGTTCCTCTCCTCACATCTTCACAACCCCTGTGAAGCAGCTCTTGTTATCATTATATGCTTAATGACCACCTCCGCCCTAACTAGTTTCATCCAGTTGATTCTGACCCCCAGCAAGTCCATGCACATCAGAGCAGGACCACACTCCAAGGGGTTTTCCATGGCTGACTTTCTGGAAGTAGATCACCAGGCCTTTCTTCCAAGGTCCCTGTGGGTAGATTCAAACCACCAACCTTCCGGTTAGCCACTGAGTGGTTAACTGTTAGTGCCACCCAGGTAAGAAAACAGGCACAGAGAGGTTGAGTAACTTGCCCAAGGTCACTCACCGGCTTGGTGGTAGAACGTGGATTTGAACCCTGGCAGTCTGGCTCCAGACTCTGGACTCTGAACTCAGAGGATACATTGTCTCTCATGATGACACTATGTTCTGGATACCTAGTGCCACTCTGACAAGAATATACTGCAAATGGGATGGCCTTAACAAATAGGAGTTTATTCTCTTACAGTTCAGGAGGCTGGAAGTCTGAGTTCCAAGTGCCAGGCTCTAGGAGCTGAGTGAAAGCCCCTCGACCTTGGGCTTCAGCTCTGCCTGTTGCTCCTGGCCCACTGAAGCTGGAGGCTTTCTTCACTCAGGCAGCTGCTGGCTGCTGAGGCTAACAAGCTCAAGGTTGACAAATAAAATGGCACAGTCCTAATGTTACCAAACCACTTGGCAGGGCATTAATTCAAGTTCATTAAAAGTCCCAAGATCAGCAGAGCATGGCAGGGTGCTTGTTGAACAAGGACACAGCTACACGCAGGGTTCAAGTGTGCCATAAGCTAGAGACCATTCCCCAAGACTTCTCCTTATATAAAAAGGAAGCAGACCACATCCCTAAGGCAGCTACTCAACTGCTCACAGTAGACTCCACCATGGAGTTGTTTACCAGTCTCATCATGGGGAATACTACATCCAGCTGCCCAGCCACTCAACCAGGCCCAGCCAAGCTGACACACAAAGTTAACTACCACACACAACACACTCATACAGGCATCATTGTTGCTGCGTCCTAGAGCTGTCGCTAGGCTCCCGAGGGAGAGCACAGGGAATGCTGGGGCGGAGGCAGTGGTTAGTGGGTGCTCAGTAACTGCTAGTATCATCACCAGTCTTCATGTGCTCATGGCTGTTTCCCCCCAATCCAGGCCACTCCTCTACTTCCTCCCAGGCCTGCTGACCAGACAGGGGCAGGGCTGCAGCAGAGAATCAGGAGGGACAGACAGTCAGAGGGTCATCACTAGAGAGACAGGAGTACACTCTTGTTTTGACATCACTTCCTTTTTTTTTAAAAAAAAAAAAATTTATTGTGATTTGGGTGGAAGTTCACAGAGTAAATTCGTTTTCCATACAGCAGTACATACACATTTTGTTTCATGACGTTGACTGCAATTCCCCACAGCTCTCTTCCCACTTCCTCCCCATAGTTACTTTTCCTTGTGTCCCTCTTTTCTATGTTGACACCATTTTGGAGGGAGCCATGTTACAAGCCAGAGCTGTGAAGGGACAATCCCCAGTTCCCGAGTGGGGCAGCTGCTGGAGGGGCTACAAGGAGAGCCCGAGGGGTCCAACCAGAACGCCCACCAGCAGGGGAACTGTGAGGAGCAGGACCACTAAGCACGGTGCCTGGGGAGGGGCAGCTGCAGCGGTGAAGAGCGGAACCACAGAGTCCTGGTTGCACAGATTGCCCTTGCAGCAGGAGCCCTGCAGGTCGATGTCCGTCCAGGGGCTGCTGGTGCCCACGACGGTGCAGGAGGGCCGGTGGCAGGTTCTGATGTACACAGGGACTGAGGAATTGGCTGGGGCAAGGGGGAAGGATCAGAGCTGAGGGAGCCCAGGACCATGCGTCTGTCCTCAGACTTACGTCATGTTTCCCACCTTAGACCAGAGCCTTGCCACCTCCCTTATACTATGCCTGTGACCGCCCAGGTCAAGGCCATGCCTCTTCCCTCAGATCAGAACCATGCCAACTCTCTCAGATAAAGAACCATGTCTCCCTGTCAGACGACCTGTCTCATGCCTCAGCCCTCAGTCCTGGCCCACCTCCACATCCCAGTCTTCCCAATCCCTCACCAATGGTCATTCGGCCATTGCCCTGGAAGCAGACGCTCTCGTCCAGGTGACACTGGACCCGCCGGGACTTGCTGACAGTGCAGTCCTCCGGGAAGGTCCCCAAGCAGGCATAGCACTCCGTGCCGCTGAGCAATGGTGGGTTGGGCGCTGACAAGAGCGTGGACGCACAGTCAGGTACCGGTACCGGTTCGGATGTGCGGGTTGCGCACTGCAGCAGTGAGCCTGCCTAACTGGCTGTGGAGGATCCGCCGCCCCGCCCCTCGCCGCCCCGCCCCTCTCCGGCACTCTAGGTACCTGGGCTCAGGTTGGGGATGCTGTCGTGGCTTACGATGTCCACGTTGCACAGGTCGGTGGCGCAGCCGCGCACCAGCGAGTAGTCCGGCGGCAGCGAGTCTTGGTTCACCTCCATCTGGCCGTTAGGCGAGCCTGTCCAGCAGCCCTTCTTCACCAGCGTCACGGAGGAGCGATACCCTTGGGAGCAGGCGGGGATGGGGCCTCGTCTGCTGCCTGCTCCCAGCCCGTTTCTTCCTCCCCATCTTTCCATGTCTCCCTCTTTCCCTCTCCTCCTCAACTTCTGGTCTCAGTCCTCTCCCTCCTCTCTCTCACCTAACTTCTTTCTCTCGCTCCAGCCCCTGGCTCTCCTCTTTCTCTACCTTCCTAACTCCTCTCTCCCTCCCACCTTCCTCTCCCTTCTCTCTCCCTTCTCTGGGCTCCTCTTTCAACTCCGTTTCCTCTTCAAGGTTTTCTCCCTTCCCCACCTCTCATCCCGCTTGTGGTCTTTTCCTCTCTTTGTAGTCGTTAGCTGCCATCTAGTGGTGAGGGGCCCATTCACTGCATTACAGAACTGTTCCAAAGGGTTTTCTTGGCTGTAATCTTGACGGCAATGGATGGTCAGGCCTTTCTTCGGAGCCCACTGGGTAGGCTTGAACCGCCAACCTTTAGGTTAGCAGATGAGTGGAAACCATTTGGTTTCCTTTCTTCCATCCTCCACCCTCCCACTGCTGTCCTTATCCTTCCCTTCCCATCTTCCACTACATTCCTGTCTAATCCTTTCTCTCTTGCTGCCTCTCCTCTCTCACGCATCACCCCTGCACTCCACCCTTTCCCCTCCAGCACACCCTTCTCCCCTCACCTGTGCTGAGGGAGCTGACAGCCTCAAAGCATTGATTGGAACAGGAGACTGTGGGGAGCTTCTTGCCGCTGAGGTCAAAGGGACTGGAGTAGATGTGTTCAAAGCTGTAGCACTGCAGGGCTTGGGATCCTGAGGAGAAGAACATGGTGGATTAGCAGGGCCAGGGGGAGCCCATCCCAGGAACTCAGGGCTTCACCCTGAGCATGGGGTAACTGGGCCCTTCGCCTCTGAAGGGAGCCAGGCCTGGTTGCCTTGAGAGGGGGGTTGGCTGATGTAGCTAGTCAGGGTTGGTTGTGACCTCACCGTGGATCAAGGTGCTCTCTGCCTCTGACAGTCCTGTTAATTCTCTCCAGGCTGTTCCAGGTCTCCACCCTCTTCCTGGGAGCCCTCCAAGATTTAGATCTTCCCACCCTTCCCCCAGCTTTAACTCATGCTGTATGTAGCCCTGGGAAAGCCAAAGTGGACATGTTGATCAACAGAACTAAAAGACCACTTATGGAAAACAAACACTTCAATACACAGCAAGATCTGCAATCTTGTATCTACAAACACACCTGTACCATCAGACCCAGAGATACTGCACAAAGCAATTAAATTTGGACATAAACCCAGAAGGAAAAATTGACACAGATTCATGCAAATGTGGCAAAAATATACAGAATGGCTCCTGCTGAGTTCTCCATTCCCTCGTGAAACAAGTGCACACCTCGACCTTCCAATACAAACCCTGCAAACCAAAGTACAGTATCTCACACGTGCAAAATCACACACATACATAAATATGTATGTACACATGGAAATAGTAACCATACAGACCGAAGAAACACATGAAATTATATCAAGACAGAGGCAAACACAGTCCCAAGAATCACATACAAACAAATAAAAAGAGCCAATATGTAAAATTGTGGTTGTTATGTGCCGTGGAGTCGGCCCCGACTCATAGCGACCCCTCCTTGGGTTTCCGAGGCAGTATCACTACAGAAGTAGGATTGCCCAACCTTCCTTCTGAGGAGTGGCTGGTGGGTTTGAACCGCCAGACTTCTGGTTAGCAGTCAAGTGCCTTAGGCACTATGCTACTAGAGATCATCCCCCATAAATGTATGCTGTAAATCCTCACCTCTGTGTCTGTGGTTCTAATCCCATTGTGGAATGGGTTGTTTTTGTTCTGTGAATGAGGCAGGATTTAGGGTGTGTCTTGAGTCAATCTCTTGTGAGATATAAAAGAGATTAAAGAAGGCTACAAGCAGATACACGGGTAAAACAGATGCCACATGGAGATCTCCAGAGGACCAGGAAGCAGAAGTTGGAGAAAAGATAATCACCCTTCCCCAGAACCACACACACAGAGAAAGCCTTCCCCCAGAGCCAGTGCTCTGAATTCCGACTTCCGGCCTCCTGACTGGGAGAAAATACACTTGTTAAAGTCTAGTTAGAGCAGTACTGAATAACTAAGACATACACCAAAATCCGGTTGTGTGCTGGTGTGGCCTCCTCCCCACCTCTCACCTTCCCTGACTCTAGCCACTTCATTCTGACCTGGTATGTGCCTGTCCCTGCTCAAAGGCAGAGTGTGGGCTGTGTGCCTGAAGATGAGGCCGAGGTCCTGGCCAGTGTGGACAAAGCCCTCATGGCTCCCCAGAAATACCTTTGAATGGGATGGGGAGCAAGGAGGGTGAGAAAGGCTGAGTGGTGGGAGGAGAGGCATGGAAGAGGGTGATTGATGGGGGAAGAACAGAGGAGGGGAAGAGAAATGACCAAGTCAGTCTCCAGCCCCCTCCTCCCTCAGACCCAAGAGTGCAGGCCCCCAGGCCCTTCCTCCCTCAGACCCAGGAGTCCAGGCCCCCAGGCCCTTCCTCCCTGTGGTTGTAGAAGTCCAGGTACCTCTCAGGCAGAGCACAGCCCCAAAGCAGCAGAGCAGGATGGTCCAGGGAACCCCCATCATGCGAGCGCAGAGCTGAGCTGAGACGCCTGGAACAGCTGCTCCTGCTCTGGGCTGGCCTCTCCCTGCCAAGCCCCTGGCATCCCGGTTACCCTGCCCTGCCAGGATTCCTCCACCTCCGCCCTCACTGGGCTGCGTCTCCTCCCAGGTAATCATGCTGGGGCCAGGAGGCAACCGAGGTGCTGGAGGGGTTAATGGCACGCAGCCCTGCGGCCTCAGTGAGGAGGGGCCAGATGCCCTGGATCCTTGATTTTCGGGAATTTGTATGTCTTCCTCTACCCTTTCCCAGGGTGGGAGGAAGCACCCAAAGCGCGTTGATTTCTCTTCTTACCCCACATTCCCAACACACACACACACAAACACATAAATGCAAACACACAGACACACACAGAGATGCACACGCACACACAGACACGGCCCCACACATGCACAGACACACACACACGCAAACACACAGACACACTCACACAGACACAGTCACACACACACCCCCTACACTCCTGGGGGTCCAGTCCACCAGTTCTTCCCCTGCTCAGTATGGGAATGGATACTCCCCAGGCTCACAGCCACCCAGAGGGACACACTTGGATCTCAAGATAGGAGGGGGCTGGGAGCCTGGACCTTCTGGTCTGACGGAGGAGGGGCAAGGCCCTGGGACTTTTCATTTTAGAGGAAGTTGTGTTCTGCGGGCTCCCTTCACGTCCGATCCCCATACTCTATTTCAGTCCGAGGTTGGCACGCGTTCCTTTGATTTCTCTTCTTTTCTCTTATCCCAACACACCCTACCCCCACACTCAGACACACACAGTCTACAATCCTGGAGCTACAGGTCTAGATCCAAACACACAAACATCTCCTTTGCTACAAGGCCTTCTCTGAGCTCCTCCCTCTTCACAGACCCACTGTCAGATGCAAGAACCATCCTGTCTCCCAGCCCTGATGGGTCTAAGTTGGTCTAGTGTCTCTCTCCCCTTTAGGGGGGTCGTGAGTTCCTCGGGGGTCTCAAGGGCCTCGGGGGATGTGTGCAATAGTGTATGAATGAATGAATGATCAAAGGAACTGGCAGAGAGGCACAGAATGAGACAGAGAGGGGCAGAGACAAAGATGAGGAGAGACCAGGAGATAGGGATCCCAGAGATGTAGACAGACAGACACAACCCAGTATGGACAGATGTAAAAGAAGACACAGAGGCCAATGCAGAGATGAAGACGGACACCCTGAAGGACAGGACGCACCCACATAAGGTACTTGATCATTTACTGAATGAATGAATGAATGAAAAACCAGCCGGCTGATGAAGATAAGGAGAGGGAGCCACACTGTCCCTGAGGACACAGGCACATCCAACGGGGACCCCAGACACCAGGCAGATGCTCCAGCAGGCAGCTGGAGTTAAGGAAGTGACCCAGGTCAGCACCTCCTAACTGACCTCCCCTTTCTCTGCTTGGAGGTGTCACCTGCTGGGTTCAGACCCATCCCCTGAACACCACAGGGTGGGCCGAGCCACGTGCAGACAATCAAAACCAGTTGCCAAAAACTTGATTCTGCCTCCTGGCGAGGCCATGTGGTCGGAGCAGGCCTGAGCTCCGCAGGGTTTGCAGTGGATGAGTTTTTGGAAGTTGACTGTCAGGCCCTTCTTCCAAGGTGCCCCTCAGAGGACTCACATTTCCAGACTTTGGCTTAGCTGCTGAGCGCATCAACCCCTTGCCCCACCCAGGAATCCATGCAGACAGCAGAGACCTAGACCCATGGCCCACGGATGGCTGTGATGGCTTCCCAATGTCACGGCGGCCATCAGGCCCTGTGACCACACCCACAGGCTCTGCACTCATTTAAGGAATAGCTTCACTCCCTCTCTTGCCAAATCCCTGCACCTCCCATTAGGCCTCACTTCCTAGAACCTGTTTTGTATCCAAATCACGCTTCCTGCTCCTCCTTCTTGGCTCCAGTCTTGAGGGGCAGCCCAGGGGGCAGGGTGGCACCAAAATTCCATTCCTGGAGAGTGGAATGTGGCCAGGTAGGAGGCAGGGTTTTCTGACACCCTGTGGAAGATGGGGGTGGTGGAGATGTTAACAGTGGCTTATAGCTTCAGGGACTGAGGCTTGGAGAGAAGGCAAGCCTGCCCAGTTGGTGTGTGTGTGTGTGAGTGTGTGTGGCTGTGTGTAAGTGTGCTTTAGACACCAGGAACCTTCAGGGGCCTTTGGAGGCTGTGAGGTATCAGGTAGGAGGCTCCTTATTACAGGAGGTAATCAAGTGGAGACCAAAAAAAAACCCAAACCAAACTCAAGTCTATTCGAGTCAATTACAACTCACAGCTCCCCTAGAGGACAAAGTAGAACTGCCCTGTAGGGTTTGCAAGGTTGTAACCTACAGAGGGAGACTGCCACATCTTTCTCCTGTGGAGTGGCTGGCGGGTTCACAGTATTGACTTTAACGCTTTAACCAAATGCTTTACCAAGCGCTTTAACCACTGTGCCACCAGGGCTCCTAATCTCACTTAAAGCACGATTTTGGGTAAGAGCACCCCAAATTAATTTGTTGTTGTTGTTGTTGTTATGTACCGTCGAGTCGTATCAGACTCACAGTGACCCCTCCTTGGGTTTCCGAGGCAGTATCACCACGGAAGTAGATTGCCCAACCTTCCTTCCGAGGAGTGGCTGGTGGGTTTGAACCGCCAGCCTTCTGGTTAGCAGTCATGTGCCTTAGGCACTATGCTACCAGAGCTCCCCAAATTAATTTAGGGTCTCTTAATTTCCATAGTGATACTGCCTCGGAAACCCAAGGAGGGGTTGCTATGAGTTGGATCCGACTTAACGGCAGTGCGTTTTTTGTTTTTTACATAAGATGGGAGGGGCTCTGGTGGTGTAGTGCCTAAGACATTTGACTGCTCACCAGAAGGTTAGCAGTTCAAACCTAGCAGCCACTCCACGGAAGGAAGCCTAGGCAATCTCCTTCTGTAAAGATTTATCGCCTCGGAAATTCAATGGGGGTCGCTACGAGTCGGAATCCACTCGATGGCAGTGAGTTTGGTTTGGTTTGGTTTGTAACTTTAAAAACAACTTTAGAAATGTATATAGTCTCCTACCAACCTGATGTACCATCACCCGATTTTGTAACCATTACCTAAATGTCAACCCATCACTGGATTTCCTTGTATTTTCTTATAGAAACTCTCTGAACTGTGTCTTCCTTGGATCACTTGGTTCAGAATCCTCTGGGCTTTGTGATTCCCTACCTGCAAATTGCCTTGCCCCTCAGCCGATGCGCTTGACTTTCCATTTCAACCAGACTCTGCCATTTTTGCTTTACCGGAAACAAAACAAAACAAAACAAAAAACACACAACTCACCGCCATCAAGTCAATGCTAACTCACAGCCACCCCTCCTTGGGTTTCCGAGGCTGTAAATCTTTGTAGAAGTAGATCATCCTATCTTACTTGCACAGAACAGCTGGTGGGTTTGAACCACTGACCTTCTATTTAGCAGCCAAATGCCTTATCCACTACGCCACCAGAGCTCCTTATTTTTGCTTTAAGATAGTTTGAAAGTTGGTGATTCTGGATGTGTAACTTTTGTTCTGCTCACACCCTGATTTCAGAATACTGGCCCCCAGAGCTGTCAGACCTACGTTTCTGTTGGTTTGAACCACTCGGCTTGTGGTACTTGGTTAAAGCAGCTGCCCAGAGAGACTAATAATACACCCCACTCCTCAAATTATTTTTGTTTTCTTCTGGATTTGGCTTTGTACGCAGTCCACGAAACGTGTGCACAATCTGTCTCTGGTTATGCCATCCACGGGACAAAATCCCCACAAGTGTTTGCACACAGAAATGGGTTTAATCTGGAACTGTGCCCATCTAACAATAATTGTTCACCTATATCAGCCTTTGAAAGGAGCTCTGGTGGCACAGTGCCTAAGGCATTTGACGACTAACCAGAAAGTTGGCAGTTCAAACCCACCAGCTGCCCTGTGGGAGGAAGATGGGGCAATCTACTTCCATAAAGATTTATCACCTCGGACACTCAATGGAGTCACTACAAGTTGGAAGCAACTCAGTGGTAGTGGGTTTGGGTTTTTTTCTTTGTTTGTTTTGTTTTGGTTTTATCAGGCTTTGAAGCCAAAATACTTACTCCATTAAAATAACTCCATTCATCAAAAATACTGTAATTGGAATGATTTTTTTTTTAATATGTTGTTTTTGTTGTTATGTGCCGTCAAGTTGAACCTGACTCACAGTGACCCCTCCTTGGGTTTCCAAGGCAGTATCACTACAGAAGTAGATTGCCCCATTTTCCTTCCGAGGAGTGGCTGGTGGGTTTGAAACGCCAGCCTTCTGGTTAGCAGTCAAGTGCTTTAGGCACTACACCACAGAGCTTGTTAAATTTTACTTCTCCAGCCTTCTCAGGATTTCAGCAGAGGCCTCAAAGGCCAAGAACAATATAAAAGACTTCATTATGAGGCTAGAGAGTCAAGTAACGAGAATGTCTTCAAAGGAGTGGTTCTAAACAAGTGCTTCTCCACCTCCACTGCACTTTGGCTATCACCTGGGAAGCTTTTAAAACATGTCAGTGCCTCGAAGCCACCCTAATTCAATAGAATCAGCATCTCTGGAGGTGAGTGTTACTTTTTAAATTTCCTTCGATGATTCTAATATACAGCCAGGGTTAAGAACATGAAAGAGTGTTATCAAAGTCCTGTTTGAACATGGGGAGAGGAAGCAAGCTTTAGGAGATTTGCTTAGAGAGAGAAACGAGGCCTCGGGCTTCATTATTGCTAGAGAAAATCCATCAGTGATACTAGATTAGTATGGTGTAGCAAAGAAAAGAGAAACCCAGAAATGTCCCATAAGAGCAAGTCAGCAAATTGTTCATTTCCTATATATTCCTATATATACAAGGCCCTGATGCCACACTGAGAGACTCCCAAAATTCAAATAAGATCTTTTCCTTTTCTGTTTACTACCATGTGCCCTATTCGCTAATAGCCAGTGAGTGGGAA